AGCAATTTGCCATTAACTGCCAGTGGCCTCATTTGTTACACTCGGCCCTAGAGGGCCTCGAACCTCTGACTAGTCTTACACGGTCTGCAACAAGACGTAACAACTTTGATGGCGCAGGACTGGGCGGTGTTTGCGCTGTTGTGCACACGGTTGCTATGAGCCGGAACTGACTCAAGGCACCTAACAACACCAACAAAATAACTACAGTGAACTACACATCTCAACTCACTCCTTTTTCCCCCTTTAAAAAATGTTCCCATTTTACGATTACTCACAAAGTCCTGGAGTCCTGGTGTGGCGCTGTGGGTTAATGCACCAGACTGCAAAGCCATTTGAACTGCAAGATCGGCGGTTCAAGCTCACCAGCTGTTCCTTGGAAACCCTATACAGGGTCGCTATGGGTCGGAACCAACTCAATGGCACTTAACAACAACAACAACAACACATACTCCTATCCAGCAAGACGAATAGTACATTTTTAAAAACTTGATTTTAGCATAATTTGAAACTTGGCAAAAGTTTGCAACACTAGTACAAGGAAGGAGCTTGTGTGTCTTTTTACCCAGGGATCCCTATTGTTTACATTCCGCACCATCTGGTTTCTCATTGCTCTCTCCGCAGTGTGAGGGGCTTCAAAAAGTTTATGGAAAAATGGAATGAAAAGATCATGGCGTTTTCTCTGAACCGTTCTAAGCCTCTGCATATGTTTACATGTGTTGTTACGTTGTTGATTCTGAATCACAGAGACTGTACAGGGCAGAACAGAGCTATTCCCTAGGATTTCCAAGGCTACGTTTTCATGGAAGTAGAATGCCAGGTCGTGGTCCTAAGGGGTTGCTGTTGGGTTCATAGTGCTGATTTTTGTGCATGCATGCATGTGCATAGCAGGGTAAGTCAAAAAGTATTGTTAGAAAATCAGAGAGACCTTTCTTACACAAAACTATCAAAACGTGAAGGTACTGCTGCTTGATGTAGCCTCTATGTAGTGTAGGTCGTCACATCTCTGAAGGCAGTGTTTCCGTCTCTCAGGTTCCTCCCTGTATTTATTTATGTCACATCAAAACGTGGCATCCTCAGGGGACTCATATCCTGTTCCTTTTCGATGTTCTTGAAGTTTGGGGAACAAAAGAGAAATCTGAAGGATCCAAGTGAGGGCTGTAGGGTGTCTGGGTAAGATTTCCCAACTAAATTCTCTTAGGAGCTGTTGGTACCCTCCAAGAGTGAGCCGGAGCTTTGTCCTTCTGGAGAATATCCCTCCACACAACTTCCTGACCTTTTTCTCACCGACGTAATTGTCAGTTTTCTTCAAACTTCTTCCTAATAAGCCCCTGTGACTGCCCAGCAGTCTTCAAGAAAGTCTTTCAAGATTACCCTTCGGAATCCAAAACCCACTCTCCATCATCTTCTGAGCTGACCTCTCCGCCTTGAATTGAGCAGGCTCAGTGGATCCCCACAGGAACCACCGTCTGATTGGCCCTTCTATTTGAAGGCAGCCAACAGAGATGGAGATGAGCGTGTTGCTGAGAGAAGGTGTCTGCAGCTGTCCACAGATCGCAGAGACATGCTTAGCCATGTTTGGTTGGGGAAAAAAAACTGGAGGAATGAGACCCCTAATAGCAGTACTTTTTGACTTACCCTTGTGTGTCTTTCTGTGTGGTTCATGGGAAGATCCCATTACCTTTTCATTCCATTTCCCCCCTGGCATGTGTGTGTGTTCCCTGTATTTTTGGGGTGCCCCCCTTATGGGGTATAAATGGTCAAGTCGTTGGCTACTCCCAGAGAGACAGCGAGTGGAACCCACGTAGAGGCCCCTGAAAGACAGGCCTAGTGAGCTGCTTCCCCACGGCCAGCCTTGACAACCCTAAGAGGCAGCTCTGCTTGACAGTCCGCGTAGTGCCCTGACTTGGGGTCCACTCAACATCAGCTGCTCCTGATTCTGTCCTCCTAGGAGGGCTCCCTGAGGACTTTCTGAACTCCCTGGAGAAGACTGAGGACAACAAATTGAAGGTCACCCTCAAGTACCCACACTACTTCCCCCTTCTGAAGAAGTGCCACGTGCCCGAGACCAGGAGGAAGGTGGAGGAGGCCTTCAATTGCCGCTGCAAAGAGGTGAGGGTGCCAAGCTCTGGGGCATCACCCATAGCTCCTGGGCAGTCCCCACGCCGCAGACTGCCCTTTCCTAGGCTGTCAGTCTTGACGGGAGCAGAACGCCAAGCGTTTCCTCCTGCAGCGCCCTGGTGGGTTCCAGTGAGTGACCTGTCGGTGAGCAGCTGAGCGCTTAACTGTTGACCCCAGTGGGGAGCGGTCAGAGCCCCTCACACAGAAGTCCAGTCCTCCGAGTCATCCTTAATGTCTGCTTGGTTACTGTTTGAGACCATTTTTAATTTTCTTTCCAAAATGTTTTATTATTTTTGTGACATGTTTTATTTTTAGATCATTGTAGATTCACTGACAGTTGTGAATAAAAAGTAGAGTGAGACCCCAGGTACCGTTTACCCATTCTCCCCTCATGGTGGTAGTGGTCGGGTGTCCTCGAGTTGATTGTGACTTACAGGGACCCCAGGTGACAGAGTAGAACTGCCCCACAGGGTTTCCCAGGCTGTCATCTATTGTGTCACTATATATTCATATATACTCTTATAGATCATCCACCCACAGCACCCCCTGGTGTAACAGAGGAGAACTGCCCATAGAGTTTCCCAGGCTGTCATCTATTGTGTCACTGTATACTCGTATATACTCTTACAGATCATCCACTCACAGCGCCTCCTGGTGTAACAGAGGAGAACTGCCCCACAGGGTTTCCCAGGCTGTCATCTATTGTGTCACTATATACTCATATATATTCTTATAGATCATCCACTCACAACGCCCCCTGGTGTAATGGAGTAGAACTGCCCACAGGGTTTCCCAGGCTGTCATCTATTGTGTCACTATATACTCATATATACTCTTATAGATCATCCACTCACAGCGCCCCCTGGTGTAACAGAGGAGAACTGCCCCACAGGGTTTCCTAGGCTGTCATCTATTGTGTCACTATATACTCATATATATTCTTATAGATCATCCACTCACAACGCCCCCTGGTGTAACGGAGTAGAACTGCCCACAGGGTTTCCCAGGCTGTCATCTATTGTGTCACTATATATTCTTGGATATATTTATATATCATCAAGAAGCTCTGGAAGCGTAGTGGTTACGAATCGGGCTGCGAACCACAAGGTCAGCAGTTCGAAACTACCAGCTGTTCCGCAGGAGAAAGATGAGGCTTTCTGCTATGAGTTGGAACCGACTCCACGGCACACAACAACAACAACATATATCATCCACTCACAGCCTCCTCAAAGTAGGGTTGACCATAATGACATGAGTACAGTTAAGCTCGGGGGGGAAAAGCACACAGAACCTGCATTTGCTGATGGGCAACAACTTAAAATGAGGAGAAACAGCTGTAAACATCCATTGAAAATTGGAACATGGAATGTACGAAGTATGAATTTGGGAAAATTGGAAGTGG